AACACCATACAAAACTAACAACCAAATAACTCTACTCACATAAGGATGCATTCCAAACTGAAATTGGGAAAAAAATTAAAGCACATTTAAATATTTGAAAGAAGAGATGCTAAATTTAACATGCATTTCATACAAAGGAAAATCAAGGAAAGCATACCTTGTTGTGGTTTGGTCTGGCCTGGTCTGCAGCAGAAAAACTAGAGAGGAATGAAAAAATAAAGTGAGAGAGAGAAGGAGAGGAGGAGGAAGAAGAAGAATAGGAAAGAGGAGAGAAAAAAAATAACGGTGATTTACCTCGTCGTCACTGTCGCCGGAGTTTCGATTCAGATCAGTATTCGAACTTCTGCCGGAGGAGGGAGTGACGAAAGGATGAGTGAGGGTTATAAAGTTGGATTCGAGTAGATAGAGATTTGAGGGGTTTTTTGTCATTTTGGTTTTTTCTTATATTAAATAGCGGGAATGAGATTCTGATTTTGGGGGGGTGGGTCGGGAATGGCCATTCCCTCAAATGGGGGATTGCCTTTCTGCCCGAAATGGGAAGCGGATTCTGATTCCACCCAACCATTCCGATTCCGGTTCCGGGCCCCTATTCCTGCAAACCAAACATACCCTTAGATTATGGCTTCATGCCTACTTTAATATCACACATGCTCCTATAACCTAGCCCTGGTTGCTTAGGGTCTCAGGACCTAGGGTGGTTCATGGCTTCCGATGAGAAACATAAAAGCATTTTAGACATTTTCAATTGTGTGAGGGATGTGGGACTGGTTGCTACTTTGGTCCCATCAATGTGATCATCTACATCAAAGGATGATTGTAATCATTGAAATCTCTCTGATTCTTCCTTTAGAGGGTTGCTTAAACCTGTTTTACAGTTTGAAACAATCCCTCCATCAGATGGTTATGGTCATTAACTCATTATCAACTTGGTTTTTGGCATTGGGGAGATCTGGTGGTTGTTACTTCCAAATTATTAAGTACATTTTTCAAAAACTTATAAGAAAAAACCATAGATGCCCTTTGTGACAGGTGCCATACCCAATAAATATGCAACATTTTGAACGGTATTGGATTTTGTGCTTATTGTATGGGTGTATCCATGGGTAGCAGACACTTCCAAAAGCTCATAAAAAGGTGTAATCAGGTACTTCATGAAAGAGGTAAGAGTATGGCGATTCATAGTTATGATGAGCCCTTGGATGCCGATTAAGGAGATACACTGCCGTTTAAAAGGCATGAGCCCAAAAGGAGATAGGAGCACTTGCATCAGCCATTAAAGAGAGTCTCGTTTTTACAACATGACGATGATGTCTTACTTAGAGAGGAGATTTGTTGGAGACAAAAGTCAAGACACCAGTGAATTAAGGAAGGTGATGGAAACACTAAATTCTTCCATGATTTGGCAAGTGGAGGAATGTGGAAAAACTTTATGAAATAGCCACAACCTTTGTGACCCACTTTAAATCCATTTATAGAAGGTCTTTGAATGAAGGGTTGTCTATGGAAAGGTTGGATTAGCCATCTTTGGGAGAGGAGAAGGTGAGGTGGTTGGAAAGAACATTTAAAGAAGCTGAAATCAAGAAGGCAGTGTTTCGGGTGGATAGATCTAAGGCACCCGGATTGGATGGATTTACAATGGCATTTTACCAAGATTGTTGGGAAGTACTGAAGAATGATTTGGTTGAGGTTTTTTAAGGAATTTGTAGACAATCACATAGTTAGCAGGGGTGTCAATGCCACTTTCTTGGCCCTAGTCCCTAAGAAAGTTGATGCTAGTCATCTGAAGGATTTCAGACCAATTAGCTTGGTGACGAGCGTCTACAAAATTCTAGCTAAGGTTTTATCTCTGAGGCTTAAAGAAGTTATCCCCTCCTTAGTCAGCCAAGCCCAAGGGGCCTTTGTACAAGGAAGACAAATAATTGACCAAATTTTGATTGCCAATGAAAGTGTGGAGGATTTGCGGAGATCTAATAGGAAAGGCTTTGTGTGTAAGTTGGATATTGAAAAGGCTTATGACATGGTGGACCGGAAGTTCCTTGGTGAAGTCTTTAGAAACTGTGGGTTTGGTGAAAAGTGGTGTAATTGGACCTTAGGTTGTGTTAGTTCCTATCACTATTCAATCCTGGTGAACGAAGTGGTGAAGGATTTCTTCTCAGCTACCAAGGGTATTAGGCAGGGGGACCCTCTCTCACCTTTTCTTTTCACCTTAGTTGCTGATGTGCTTAGTCGTTTAATCTCTAAGGCTGATAGAGAAGGTGTAGTTAGAGGGTGGAGATTGAGAAGGTGAGAAGGTTAAAGGTGCTGATTAGAAATTTTGAAAGTGTTTCTAATTTGAAAATCAATTTTGAAAAGAGTTGCATTGTAGGTGCCCAGGCTGCCGGGGGAGCTAGGGATGTGGTGGGGGAGGTTGCAACAACTGATGTTGTGGGGGATAGCAGAGAGGATGATGGCAGGAAAACAAGGATGGTAGAAGATAGAGAGAAAGAAGTTGAGGATCAGGGGGAGGGTGAATATGATGAGGAGTTAACGCTAAGGAAGTGGGCTGAGAAGTTGGGGTTGAAAATTTCGCATTTAGGCCTAGACAAGTCTCAGAAGAAGGGGCTGATTGAAAAGGAAAAACTAGACAAGAGGCGGGTAAGGGATTTGAAAAAACAGAGAGGAGGGTGTGGTAAGAGGGTGAGGGGTGGTGGGATAGGTGGAAGGACAGGATGAAGATTAAAGACAAGTTGGGGTAAATGCTGTGATGATGATATGAAGATCTTAAGCTGGAATGTTAGAGGGTTGGGGAGGGTAGCGAAAAGAAGAATCGTAAAGGAAGTGTTAAGGAGAGAAAAACCAAATGTGGTGATGTTCCAAGAGTCTAAGGCACAAGAGATTGATAGAAGGTGGGTAAGAAGTGTTTGGGGAGGTAGGTTGGACAATGGCCTCGTCGTGTGGTGCATTAGGAGGAATAGTCGCTATGTGGAATGAGAATACRGTGGAATGTTTGGAGGAACTAATAGGTAGGTTCTCAGTGTCGCTAAAATTGCAGAATTTAGTTGATAATTTTAACTGGGTGTTGACGAATTTTTATGGGCGTAATTCGTATAGGGAAAGGAATGAGATGTGGGAAGAATTGGCAGATGTGAGAGGTTTGTGGCAAGGCCCGTGGTGCTTGGTGGGGGGATTTTAATGTGATAAGACATATTTCCGAGTTGAACAATTCGAGACAAAGGATAACCACTAGTATGAAAATATTTAATAATTTTATAGACACATTTGAACTGAAGGAAAGCGGGACTGGACAATATAGATACCTGGACTAACTGTCAAGAGAACCCGATGTGCTCAAAGCTGGATAGGTTTCTTGTGTCTTTGGACTGGGAGGAACATTGGAGTAACATGGTGGGCAGGACGCTGCCTAGGGTCACCTTAGATCACTGACCGATATGTATTGGACAAGGGTTGAACGGCGAAGGGCCGACGCCTTTTAGATTTGAGAACATGTGGTTAACGGTCTTGGAGTTTATGCTTAAGGTTGAGGAGTGGTGGAAGGAAGATAACCCCCAAGTTCTGTGGGAAGGGATTAGATTCCGAAGGAAGCTTCGGAATTTAAAAGCAAAATTCAAGGAGTGGAATCTGAATAAGTTCAAGAGGATAGAAGAGAGGAAGGCTGCTCTTATAAACATGATTGAAGAATTAAATAAAAAAGAGGTATTCGGCTCATTGGGTGTAGGGGAAAGAGAGGAGAGATTTAATTTAAGAAAAGAGCTGGATTCTACACTCCTTAGAGAAGAAATGACTTGGAGGCAGAAATCAAGAGTGCGCTGGATCAAAGAATGGGATGGGAATACAAAATATTTTCACATGGTTGTGAATGGGAGAAAAAGGAAGAATTTGATCTCTATGTTAGAATTGGAGGGTCACACTTTAACTAATCATGACGAGATTGCAGAGGCTTTGGTGGATCATTTTAAATCAATCTTAAGAAGGCCTATCTCAGAAAGATGGACGCTAGAAGGTTTTGATTGGCCAGTCCTAGAAGCTGCCGTTAGTAGGAGTCTGGAGAGAAAATTTGAATTAGATAAGGTGAAGGAAGCAGTTTTTTCCATGGACTGCTCTAAAGCTCCCGAGCCCGATGGATTCACTATGGCTTTCTACTAGGATTGTTGGGAATGGCTAAAGGATGATTTGATGCGAGTCTTTGTGGAGTTTTATGATAGCGGGATTGTTAGTAAAGGGGTAAATGCCACTTTTATTGTGTTGGTTCCCATGAAATCTGGTGCCTGCCACCCCAAGGATTTTAGGCCAATCAGCCTGGTGACAAGTCATTATAAAATCCTTGGAAAAGCCCTCTCTATTCAGTTAAAAAAGGCCCTCCCGTCAATCATATCTCATTTTCAAGGGGCCTTCATCCAAGATAGACAAATTTCAGATCAAATACTCATTGCCAATGAGTGTGTGGAGGATTTCAAGGTAGCAAGAAGGAAGGTCATTGTGTGTAAGCTGTATCTAGAGAAAGCCTATGACTTGGTGGATTGGGAGTTCTTAGTTGAAGCTTTGAGGATGTGTGGTTTTGGGGCAAGATGGTGTAAATGGATTAAAGGATGTCTTCAATCTTCCCATTTTTCGGTGTTGGTGAATGGTGCAGTTAAGGACTTCTTTGGTGCACTAAGAGGTGTGAGACAAGGGGACCCTTTGTCCCCTTTCCTCTTCACCATTTTAGCTGAGGTCTTTAGCAAATTAATCTCAAAGGCAACGGAGGTAGGATTGTTAAGGGGTTGGAAAGTAGGAAGGGAGAGGGTGGTGCTAACTCATCTACAATTTGCGGATGACATCATTATCTTCTGTGAGGCTGGTGATGAGTTAGGGGCAAGAAATCCGAGAATGTTGGTAAAACTCTTTGAAAAAGTGACAAATCTAAGAGTGAATCTCCACAAGAGCCAGGTGGCAAGGATCAATTTAGCAACATAAGAGATTAATGTTTGGGCCGAGGAACTAGGATGTTTAAGTAGTGAGTGGCCACTCAAGTATTTAGGTATCCCCCTTGGTGCAAATCCCAAAAGCATAGATTTTTGGAATCCAGTTGTGGAGAGGTTTGAAAAGAAACTTGCAGTGTGGAAGATGAATTATATCTCGCTGGGGGGTTATCAAGTCTATCCTAGCAAACCTTCTAGTTTACTACCTCTCGGTGTTTAGTTTG